CATCAGAGACAGATTTTAATTAGCAATCTTACTCGTAATTGAATAATGCAAGATTAATGCAATAGTAAGGAACATTCCAGGTAAAGCAATAACACCTTCATTATCTAGACAGCAAATGCATGTTGATTATTTCAGTACAAAGTAGTTTTTTTATTTTACAAGGTAGTTTTTCACCATTTATTTACTTACATATAAAAGGTACGTGCACAGTTGTAGTTTGTTTTCCATCAGTTGTAAATTTTGTTACTTAAAATTGCTATACAAATTTAATTATAATCAGCCTACTATAAAGGATAACACCAATCCTTTTTTAATATAATGCAATTGGTATGACGTATATTACAACAGTCTGAATTAAAATAAACAAGGATTTGACTTTTTCTTTTACTAGTTGTCAGTAATGATTTTACAACAGAGTAAATTCGTTGTTACTTCTCATTATAACTGTAATAGGGACGGTAGGGCATCTGACACAATAAACCCTTTGCTAAATCAATATGCCTAACACTGCATACTAGAGTGGTTCCCTGTGGTGACTCAAGAAGCGAAACACAAAGAAGAAAAGCAATGTCTTTTCTGTATTTTTTTGACGTTTTGAAAGTTGTCAGCTTCGCGTTGTACAGCTCCAATACTGTACGGAACTGAGAGGAGAATCCAGAGCCTGAAGCGATTAGGAATTCAATTATTTATACATAAACTTGGCTTTTTCACAAACCCACAAGGACAACTTGAACTGAAACACTACGTGGATCTTGCCAAGAAAACTTCACCGAGATAACAACTGGGAAAATCAGCCTTTCAGAACATATAATACCCAGACTATTTAAAAATTTTATCAAGGGGCGAGGTATTAGGTGTTAAAATTTCACATATACATTTGGGTACTCAAAATATACATATTATATATTATTCATCAGATGATCTGCTACTTTTCTGTCTCCATGAGGATGTTATTTCTGTGCCTGAAATGTTCCCCACTAAGGCATTTGTTCAAAAATACCTTAAACATGAATTCTTACCATGTGCAGGCTTGCTTCTCCATAGATCTAACCATTAACCTATCTCCATTCACCATTGTGATTACCAAGTTTATTTCCATACTGCCGAATAATCAAGGGGAAACAGTAATATCTTCATGGAGACAAGCAGTTGGCAGACGCTCCACCAGAAAAGGTACACAGTGCACCTTTAAAGCAATTCTACCTTTATTTCTAGTTCAAATAAGTTTAAAAACCAAAGCCATATTTTAACAGTGTTCCCTCATCATTAGCTAACTCAAAGTCACGTATGTTTGAGTAATCCTGTATTATCCTGCATTCTCTGCAGTTCTCTGAAATTTCCCATTTTCACCTACCCCCTATCCCCACCCACTAGGGGTGTAACAATACACAAAAAACAAAATGGAAAAACATTTGCTTGTTTTTATTAAACCAACAATTTGATTTAACTTATTAGTATTACCAAGCAGCACTTTGCATTTATTTTATTTTTCTATTTTTATAATGTTAAAACTAATATTCTCAAATAAGTAACAAACATATGAAATATTTTAAACAGTAAACAAAAATAAAGCGCAGCACTAACGATTCCAGGATGAAGTTTTACTCAATCTTCATATTTTTTATTGGCCAAAAAAAACAACTTGTCCACATTGTTTGCAGTAAGTGCAGATCTGCTGCAGTTACATCATCCTCAGCGGTTGAAAATACATTTTTGCTGGGACAGAGATCGTGGGTATTGGGATGGGGGGGGGGGGGTTCCGTGTCAGTGAAAGGTGAAAGTGAGGACCATGGCACGATGACCATAGTTTTGTGAGGATTCACGTGGTTCGGAGGGACGTAGTAAAGGCGGGGGGCAAGTTGTCAAGGCAACCGCTCTAACTATAAAGTGATGCGGGAAACACTGTCACCCCAATCACGGACAAGTTTCTTTGTGAATACTAAAGAGCCGAGCCTTCCGTGTAGCTGCACATGTAGTGGCTGAATGTAAACACACACAAATTGAGCAAACTCACTCGTGCACAGCCCTGCACTGAACTGAACGTCCCGTACCGAAACGGTTCGACATGAATACATGTTACACCACCCACTGCTCTGTACTTACTTGCACATAGTTGAAAAGATTTTACTCCATCATACACAAGTTTCAAAATGTTGTGTAGCCAAATTTAATACATAAAAAGTTCACGATCTGGCATCTTCTTATTTATGTGAACTGCTTACTTTGCACACTTGGGCAGAACACTCAGGTCATTGAACCTGCTGCTTTTACACTGCCCAAGGGCCAGACTCAAAACTAGAGGAGATAAAGCCTTTGCTGTAGCGGGTCTTAAACTGTGGGACGCCCTCCTGTTACACATCAGAGCTGCTGCTTCCCTGGAGAGTTTTAAATCACTGCTGAAAACACACTTTTTTACACCTGCTTTTAACTCAAGTTGTATCTGTGTTCTTAAACTTGTTTTACTGTGTTTACTTGTGTTTTATTCTTATATTGTGTTTTATCTGTTTTGTTAAGCACTCTGGGGCAGTACTATCTGTTTTTAAATGTGCTACATAAATAAACCTTAACTCTTACAATGGCCAAAACTAAAAACAAAACAGTTTACTTAGGAATTTAGATGCATCTTGGTGGACATTTAAAGGTGCATTGTGTAACTTTTCTGGTGGAGGGTCCGTCAGATTCTTTTCTTCTTCTTTCTGGAATGGTATTAAACCTTTCTATCTTCATGGAGACCAGACCAGACAAAGTTACAGGTCAGATCTGTGGAGAGGCGACCCCGCTCACAATCAGAATGCCTGTTTTTCGAGGTATTTTTGAGCTATAAAACCACTTGTAATTGAATAAATGTAGAGTAGAGCTGTTTAAAGTCATACTGTGGAACATTCCACAGTATGACATATCTATTTTATTTATTTATTTATTTGACATGCCAGTGCTTGGTAAAATTTCTGTTTTCATCTACCCCCATCTCAGCTCTGGCGAAACGCTAATGGAGTTTACTGGTTTACTCAGAGCTCAATATTTTTGTGCTCTTAGTCTATTTCCTGTTTTTATTCAAATATTTATGTCCGTTTATTCAATATTTACAAAACACATCGACAAACTTTTTAAAATCATGGTGAATTTCAGGATAGGGAGCTGACGAGTTCTGTGTAAATATTCCCACAGCGGCAGTAAAAAGCAGTTCGATTTGGTTTGGAAAAAAGTCTGCACTGAACTTTGTCAAAGCTTCAGAAAGATTAAAACCTTACAAATATCAAGGCCGGATGGAGAAAGCTAAAAACTGGGTTGGAGAATGTTAAGTCTGAAAATTACCTCTAATCAATAACACTAATGATTTCTTTCTGATTGTTAATACCTGTGAAGGTTTTTAAAAGGAAAATTAAACAAAAAAAGGTCAAAATGATGTGGCAAAGACAGAAAGTGTTAATGAGAAATATTATGCAAAATCGACTTCTTGGAGCTTTCTATCATGTTATAATTTTGTTCCCTCATCAAAAACATGTCTGAAGAGGTTTTAGATGTCACCCATGTATGTCTGAGTAATTTAGTGATCTCTCCCAGGTCTTATTCGAACCCTCCATACAGTTAGTGGTTGTGTGTTCTGTTTTCTGGTGACTGTTTTTGACTGAGATTCTCATTTTTATATCAAACAGGAAACATTAAAGCCCTGGCAGTGGCAATATGTTTCAGTTTTGTATTTGGTTTGATTAGATTTTTTCAGTTGAGATTTACACTGAATACTTTATTTTACTGCTGCTGATCACATGCACTTTACTTTTGAATGCAATTCAATTCATTAAGTCAAATTCTAGGAATTGACAAACTACACTGAAATTGTTTCTTTTTCCTGTATAAAGAAATGTTCTGTTTGCACAACAGATGTGGCACTTTTGTTTATGTTTCCAATAAGTAATAAGGGCGCTATATACTACTTTTGAATTCATTAATTGGTTTTGCATATAACATGCAATTAATTGCAATAAATCGCACTGGAACTCATGCGATTAATGCAATTAATATTTTTGCCCAGCCCTAATCTATCTATCTATATCTATATCTATATCTATCTATCTATCTATCTATCTATCTATCTATATCTATATATATATATATATATATATATATATATATATATATATATATATATATATATATATACCCTCTTTAAAAACTAGGTAAGTGGTCTAATTAAGTTCATTAGGTCTTCACATTGTTATGGTTAGAGATTGTTATAGGCAGAACTGTATATTTCAGTGTTTCTTGTGGAAAATTGCTTAGTCAAGGTTTGGGGAAGATACTGAGCGGGCAAAACTGAGGACCAGGGCACAACGACCGTAGTTTTACGAGGAATCATGTGGTTTAGAGGGATGTAGTCAAGGCGGGGGGCAATTGTTGTGAAGGCAGCCGCCCTAACTATAAAGAGCTGCGGGAAACACTGTATTTGCCTCCCACAATACTGATCACTGTCTGAGTATGACGCAAATATTTGGGTCTGACTATCTCTAAATCGACTAATAAAGTGTTTTAGTATTGATAAAATCAGGCAAAACAAGAATACATTAGAATATTTCCAATTAGTAGACCATGAAATGAGATTAGGAACACTATTTTTAAATGCACTGTACCAGTTTTATAACGTGAAAACCCAAAGTAGTTCATTTAAAAAGTTTGCAGTGTTCCAAAGTTATTCCTCAGTTTCCTTTCGCATTCAGAGCATCCTAATTATTCACCACGGTGAGTTTAGAAGTGCTTTTCACATCTTTCTGAGACTACTGAATTTGCTTTTATGTTAATACTAACAACAACTAGAATGCTAACCACGCGCTTCCTGATTCTAGGACGAGAAAACGCGTCATAATTAGATGCAAACAACACACAGCGGACTTATTTTGACCTCAAGACCTACTTATACAATATGTCTATACTGGGAAATTGGAAAAAATCGTCTCAGGGATCTTTTCAGGTGCAAAAACTTAAAATAATTTCTTTCCACTTACCCTCCATGACGAAGACCAGGGAGCCCACCTCGCCCTCTTTAATGATGCAGGCGTCTTCTCCGTAGTCCACTGGGTACATGCAGTCCACGATCTCCTGGATCTGAGACAGCTCCAAGTTCTTCATGAAGTCATTGTCCAAGATGGCGTCCTTTATCAGATCCTTAGACCTGCAAAAAGAAAAGGGATTAGTTCAGTTTGAGGTCGAAATTCAAGAAGTAAACGGAGAAATTAACAATATCCAACAGCTTTGAAATGTAAATGGAGCTTTAAAGATGCACTGTGTAAGATTCCTGGTGAAGGTTCTGCCATCTGCTCGTATCCAGGGAGATGTTGTTGCTTTGTCTGGAATGTCCCGGTATGGCATTAAACATATCTCTCTTGTGTTTACTCAATAACATCGTTTTTTATTGGCTTGCATTCTTAGGCTACGTTCAGACTGCAGCCCGAAGTGACCCAAATTTTTTTGCCCGTGCGATGTGTATCTGATCTTTTAATGACAATCTGAACGACACAGATCCGATTTTTTTCGACCAGGTCACTTGGATATGTGCTCCTAAAACCGATACATATCTGATCTTTTGACATGTGACTTCAGTCTGAACGGTCAGGTCACATTCATCCCACCTACACATCAGGCTCAGAGTCTAGTCAATGGAGGGAAAGCGAGGATAGCGAATTCATTAATATTTGGGGGGATCGCTGTATTCAGGACAAATTAGAGGGGACTTATCAGAACTCCTCTAACTACTCCTCCTCCTACTACTCCTACTACTACTACTACTACTACTACTACTGCTACTACTATTACTATTACTAATCATACTACTACTCCTACTCCTACTACTTCTCCTACTACTACTCCTACTACTACACCTACTCCTACTACTCCTACTCTTCCTCCTCCTACTACTACTCCTACTGCTCCTCCTCCTACTACTACGCCTACTTCTACTACTACTTCTACTACTACTATTACTACTACGCCTACTCCTACTAGTACTACTACTACTACTATTACTACTACGCCTACTCCTACTAGTACTACTACTCCTACTACTACTCCTCCTCCTACTACTCCTTCTACTACTACTACTACTCCTACTCCTCTTCCTCCTACTACTACTACTACTCTTACTACTGCGCCTACTCCTACTAGTACTACTACTACTACTCCTACTACTCCTACTACTACTACTACTACTACTACTACTACTACTACTACTACGGCTACTCCTACTAGTACTACTACTCCTACTACTACTACTCCTTCTTCTACTACTACTACTACTCCAACTCCTCTTCCTCCTACTACTACTATTACTACTCTTACTACTGCACCTACTCCTACTAGTACTACTACTACTCCTACTCCTCCTCCTCCTCCTACTACTACTACTACTACTACTCCTACTACTACTCCTCCTCCTACTACTACTACTACTACTCTTACTACGCCTACTACTACCTCTACTACTACCCTTACTCCTCCTACTCTTAATACTACTCCTACTTCTCCTCCTACTACTACTACTCCTCCTCCTACTACTCCTACTACTAAGTCTATTCCTACTACTACTACTCCTACTGCTCCTCCTCCTACTCATACTACTCCTCCTACTACTTCTCCTACTATGCCTACTCCTACTACTTCTAACTAGTCCTTCTATCTGTTGCAGTATTTATAGTAATACTATCAGTGTGAAAGTATTTGCTCTTCTGCCTGTGGTTTTGCTTTGTAACTCTGCAGTTCTTTTGAGTAATTATATTGAGTTCATCTGAAAGTTCAACTCATTCCTTTTTTTTAATTTTTAATCACCTGACTCTTTTTAATAAAATAACAAAATATTTGGCTAACGAGGCACAGAGGTAAATGTCAAAGAGTGTTTTTAGTTTTGTAAATGTTAAAACATGCAGCGCCCAAACCTTCAGAATGCTCTTTTATGACCCCTCAAAAGAATTCTGTTTACAAAAAGAAATAAGTAAATATGCTACAAAGGCGGTGTTAAAGGCTACGAATTTGCTTTTTAAAGGTGCACTATGGAACTTTTCGACTCCACGGAGATGTCATTGCTTTGTTTTCAAGGTGTTTTGTTTTGTTAGCGTTAATTACCTTGAAAAACATGCCGTCTTATGAGGTGAGAGCTTTAGCGATATTGTAGTATAATATAAAGGGGCACTGTGTAACATTTCATCTGGAGAGCCCACTATCCACTTGTCTCCATGGAGATGTTATGGCTCTGCTTGGAATCATTTTTAAATATGCTGTATAATTAAAAACTTGAGCTGCAACTAATCAATGACAGAATAAACCAATAGATAGTCATAGCAGTGATTTATTAAAACCTCTACAGCTCAGATCTTACATAAAAATGCCAAAAAAAACTCCCTACTTCTGCAAAGAAATTGTACACATGATAAATATTGAGGCCCAAAATACTGTTCCAGCTTTCATATATTGAACTAAAAGTCTAGTAATTATCGTGACAGGCCTATGGTGACGCCACAGATTACAGGTCAGCTCTGTGGAGAGGCTTGCCCACTAACAGTAAGAATGCATGTTTCTTATTTATCTTTTGACAATTAAAAAAGACATGTAATTTAGTAAATCCAATATAGATGTTCAATGCCAAACTGTATAATAGCGGTTTTCGAGCCGCCGAAGAGCCACGGGGGAGGAGCGACACACGTGGACTAAACCAGGACTGATCCCAGGACTGAACCAGGACTGAACTAGGACTAAACCAGGACTAAGCCAGAACTGAACCAGGACCGAGTGTCTGGATGGGTCGGAGGTGCACCTGTGTAGACCGTCGGGTGACCGCAGACGAAAGGACCGGCAAAGAGCTCCGCACCTCATGGGGCTAAGCGCAGCCGTCACCCGATCACACTTTGTGGACACCCTGCTTCATGGACTCGGGGTTCTCCCTCTCTCTCTCAAGTCCAACATTAGTCCTGGTTTAGTCCTGGTTTAGACCTGGTTTAGACCTAGTTAAACCTGATTTAGTCCTGGTGTCCTGTCAATTAGGTCTGCATGAAATTGGAAATTATTTGCTGTTGCAAAAATCATTTATGAATTCACTTATTTAAAAATATGAAAAAATAATATTTCAAAAAATATTATCAGTTGTTGAAACTCATTATTGCCAGAAACACAAAAGATGCATTTACTTCAAAGGCCTGTGTGAGGGGAGGGGAGGCAGAGGGGATTTTGGGGAAGGGGGGGCTCGACTGTCTTCGCCTACTCTTAAGGGGAGTCTCACGTTCACCCAATTTGAAAACCCCCTGCTGTATAACACTCCAGGTAGAGAAGAATAACACAGTGCAGCTTTAAATAGCCTATATTATGACATTTTCTGATCTATATTATAATGTTGTTGCTTCATTAAAAACATATTTGGAGTTGCGTTTTGTTTAATTGACACAAACCCTGCATATTTAGGCTGTGCTCTTCTCTCAAATGTCAATGTCATGTGGTAATACAGGAAGTGCTCCACTGTGTTTTTAAAATCCATACACCTTTGCTTGACTTTTTTGGATAATTTCAGTCCTAGAATTGCCCATTTCTGCTGAACAAAAGGTAAAAGGTAGCTGTTAACTTGAAACTACCATTATGTGACATCACAATGTGGAACAGAACATTTTGAGTTCTGGAGATGTAGACAGACAAGTAATAAAAAGTTACTCAAACATGTGTGAATGAAACAAAACACAACTCCAGGTCTGTTTTTCATGAGCTAACAACATTATAACATGACTAAAAGCTCACAAGAGTCAATTTTGTGTAATATAGGAGCTTTAAGTTTCTTTCTAAATAAATATTACAATAGAGATATATTTGCGATAGTATATGGTGCAGCCCTTATATTCGTAAATATTTGGTTTTGAGTTCCTTGGGGTAAAAAGTTTGAGAGGGCTTTGCATATTGAATCGTCAGCAAATTCCCTTTAACTACTACTACTGCAGAGTTGCGTCAGGCCAGTCGAGAAAAAAAGTACGAAAATAAAAACACAAAACGCCTGACGGGGAACAGCCAACTCCCAATATTCACTGTTTTGACAACCTGCTTTCACTAAACACATTTCACTTCAGCATAAATGTTCAAATCTGTTTATTTTCTTTCTAGCTCGCCGCAGACAACTGGAGCACAGCTGAATCCAAGTGAGTCATATACTAGAGATGACAGCAGAGCCAGAGGTTTTTCCTTCCTGTTGACTTGATAAAGACCTCCCCATAGAAAAGCACTGAAAGCCCAAGTCAACAGCCCCCCACTCTGATTGGTCGGGATAGAGTCAGTTTGGCTTGTATTAAAAAGAAGCATCTCTCTTTCATCTTTATGAGCTCTTTTCCTCCTTTCACATCCCTATTTCTTCTTCTTCATTTGTTTTTATTGATTTATATTATATTTTTAACTTAATTTATCTATTATTACTATTATTATAATTTTTTATAAATTTATTTATTGAAAAAGAGTGGGGTGTCATTCAAGACTTTCAAGAAAACGTGGGTTCCATTTATCTATTTGTTGAGTCTGTTAAGTTTCCCTCTGCTCCAGAATGATGTTTTTCACTCTTGTATTTGATTAATTCCTACCTCAGCCTCTCTTTTCAATCTGGTACATCTGGTTTTTGTTTTGTTTTGTTTTGTTTGTTCTATTTCAGATTTTTGATTTGATTTGTTTTGTGTGTTTACTCAGCTTTTTGTCTTTATTTAAATATTTTATCCTGACAATGCTGATATTTGGAAATTGTTATTAAATAAAGTTCTGGAAAAACATATATATATTTATTTAGTCCATATTCTGGCAAGATCTACAGCTCCATGCAAAATAACACAAACCCAATGATGATAGCAGAGCCCACGGCAACTTTCAGATTAAGGTGAATAGACCACAGCAGAAATGAGAATGCATGAAGGGAGTTAGCTGAAGTTTTTGTGAATTTTAGAGCAACAGAGATCGCCTCGTTTCTTAAGTATTTGTGTTACTTTTCTGTCACATTTGACTATTACTAATTGGCTAATACAGGTGTCAATCACGCCCATGTGAGCTCAGAGGGATAAAACCTATGTCTACACTTTGTTAAGTATTGAAGAAGTGTGTATTTCTGGCTGCAGGCGAGGTCACAACTACCTTTGCCTTCACATTATGAATGTTTTATAGGTTGACGGG